GTGCAGGGAGAGCGCGTGCAGGCCGATGGGCGTCGCCTCCGGCAGGATCGGGCCGCAGCGGCCCGCCTGCAGCATCAGCAGCCGCGCCGCCCCGCGGCCGGCATGGCGGAGAGCCATCTGGGCGGCAGTTGCAGTGCTCTGTGGCGCCGGGGTGCCGCAGCACTAGCTTTGGGTGGCCCGTGCTACCGCTGACCACCGCCGCGCGAGACGTATCCAGCCACGTGACCACGGCTGCAGAATTATTTGCAGCCGCAATTGAGACCACGTGCGATCAAAACGGTCGCCTGTCCAGCTAGCAACGACGGGTGTAAATGGGCAGGTGCTGATCTCGTAGGCACCCCCCCCCGCACTAGCAGCGGACACAAGCGGGTGTTGCGAGCTTTCAACGACTCAGAGTTTATTTTGGTATGAGGGCTAAGCCGGTTTCGAGGAGTGCCTCTTCAGTGTTGCCAGCTTGCTGCTGCTTCACACTCTTGTCGGCTTTTGCCAGGCACAACGTGCCGCGCGCCTCGGAAGTGCAAACGCGACCACTTTTCCTTGCTCTGCTCCTCAGCAAGCGCCGAGATCGTTGAAGTCCTATTTGCGACTCCACAACACAGCCGAGAAGGAACCCGTCTTCCCCCGGACAAGCGTGCTGAAACTTGCACGCAGCCGTCGACATGGACGCCGAGGGCCCCTACGCCCCCGGCGGCCGGCACGACGGCGACGTCGGACCGCGCGCTCTGCGCCAAGCGGACATAGCGAGCTTCCTTGTCCCCAGCAGCGAGCATGCGGCCGACCGAGCCCAGCACGACAATCATGATGAGCCTGCTGCGCCGTCTGGCCGGCGCCTCAGCCACGACGCTGTCGGCGCCTCGCTTCGGTGGGTGTCCGCTCAGCAGCGGCGCGGGGCCGCATGCTGCGCGCGTGGCGGGGCGGCGGGCTCAGCGGCGGCCCGCTTCGCCGCCTGGTGCCGAGCTGCAGTCCCCCGTCCCCCTGAAAGCGCCTGCTGACCCCGCACGCGGCCGCACATTGCTGCGGGCGGCTGGCGCGGGGCGTGTCCCTCAACACGCCTCCCTCGTGCGCTCTCAAACCTCCTCCCCTCACACCTTCGCACCGTTCCCCCACAGGAGCCTGAACATGTGCCTCAACCTGTGCAACCGGCAGCTCGGCGGCGGCTGGCAGCCGCGGCGCGGGACCATGCAGCACTGTGGGGCGGGCCGCAGGCAGCAGGTGGGCGCGTGCGCCGCGCTGGCCGCCTCGCATGGATGCCGCCCGGCTCCCTCCCACCCATGAACCCCCTGCTTTGCTGACGCCTCTGCGGGTGGGGCTTTAGGATCTGCTGGGGCACCATGGTGCTTGCCCCCACCGCTGCAAGTGCAGCCATGCGGTTGCAGCCGTACACGGCAAAATCGCCAAACGCCAGCCTTGCGGGTGCAGCCAAACGGGGGCGCCGAGAATCGCCCGAGCCGCCCGCCGCCGCGCCCGCATCACCGCGCGCCGCCGCGCGCAGACGTTCTCGGTCGCTGCGGGCGCGGACTCGGCGGCGCTCTCGGGCGCGCCGCCGCGCAAGACGTGCACCCACACCCTGGCGGCGAACTCCGGGGGCCTCATGCTGGCGGCGGCGACGGCGGAGGGCGTGTCCATCTTATCGACGTGCGAGCTGCGGCGCGCGGCAGCGGACTACGACAGGTGGGTTTGGACGCTTATGAGTAAGGGCACGGTTTCAGGGGCCAGAGAGCGCCGAGCAGGGACCGTGAAGAGCGGGCGGGAGTAGGTTTCGGCTCGGCGGCGACCTGCCATGCGCAGGCGCACTCACATCGTATCGGAGAGCGGCGGAGAGCGGCGGGTAATGGGAGCACGCGGTTGCGGCCAGCCGGTGAACAACCCCAACGCGCTGCCGCTCGGCCCCCGAAGAACCTCTGCCGCCCCCCGCGCGTTACACCGCAGGTTCGGCACGCACCACCCCAGCCGCGTCCGCAACTTTGCCGGCGTCGGCCCCGCGCTGCTGCAGCCCGTCACGCACGCGGTGCGGCCCAACACGCGGCTCTCAAAGGTCGCCTGGTGCCCCGATGTCCCCGAGCTGCTCGCCTCCGGCGGCGCCAACGGCGGCTGGCTGCACTACGTGCGCCCCAGTGGCGCCGCCGACAGCTGGCCGCTCCCGTGCTCGCCCGGCGCGGGCGGCTGGACGGGGCTCGCCGACTTGGAGTGGCTGCCGGGGCGGCGGCGGGCGCTGGTCGGATCGAGCGCGAGCAACGGCGTGCTGCTGTGGGACTCTGGGGAGGGCGGCGGCAGGCGGGGGGCGGTCAGCCTGGATAGCAAGAAGCTGGGCCGCGCGGACTGCCTGGCGGCGCTGCCTGGGGGAGACCTGGTGATGGGCGGCTGCGGCAGCGGCAAGGTGGGCGACCAGGGGCGCTGTTGCCCGTTGTGTCATGCGTACTGTGGGCGTGGGGCGCTTTCGCACACACCCGCCGGGGCCCCTGGGTGTGTGTGAGACACCAGCTCATGGCTCTTGCATGGCCCTAACATATGTTTGGCTGCACGCTCGCCACCCTGTGCTTGTCCTCCTGAGCCCAAGCCCTGGCACCGGGCGCGCCCGCACTGCATGCTAGTTATAGGAGTGTTGCGATGACAACTCACTGTATTGCGCCGCATGCGCGCAACCTCGGACCGCAGCTCGTGATCTGGGACCTGCGGATGGCGTCCTCCTCAGTCCGCAACTTCGGCGCAGCTTCCAAGGCGGTGCTGCGGCAGGTCGACGTCGCGCGCCGCGTGCAGCTGTATTACAGCGGCGGCGATGCAGCCGGCGACGACGACGCGTGCGCGCACGCGGGCGCCGCGGCGGCGGGGGGCGGTGTGGCGGCGGGCGGCAGGGCGGCGGGGCTGGGCGGCGGCGGCGGGTGCTTCTTCAGCCAGCTGCTGCCGTGCCCCTGGGACGCGCGGCTGCTGGCGTTCGTGCAGACTGACCTGCAGGTGGGTGCGTGGGCATGCATGTGTGTGTGCGCGTGCGCGTGTGTATGTGTGTGAGTGTGAAGAGGTGTGCATGCGTGCAATCCGGCACATTTGCAAGTATGCGCGATGTGGGGCAGGAGCCGGTTGGTGCAAGAGCTGGTGGCCAAAGGGTGGTGCATGCGTGGGGTGGGGGGTGGGGGGGGTCCGCTCAGGCGGCCTGCACTGCTGCTGCAGGCCAAGCAGCGACCGCGCCTGGAGGGTTGTAGCAAGCACTATTTCAAACAACCCCTGAAGTGTTGCCTGGGTGTCCTTCACACGTGCACCCTGTATACAACCCATGGACTGACGGGCATCTGCGTCCCCGTTGCGTCTGCCTGCTGCTCCCGGACAGGTCGGACTGCTGGACTGCAGCACCGGGGAAGTCCTGGACCACGCCTCCACCTCGCGCCGCGCGACCCCCCACGAGCTGGCAGAGTGGTGCTCCCGCCACGACGGCCTTGCGGCGTCGGCCGGCCCCAACGGCCGCGCGCTCGGCGCGGCGCTCGGCTTCGGGCGGCCGGACGACTTCCGGCCGGCGTGCTCCCAGAGCGCCTGGGGCGAGGACGGGCTGATCCTGTACACCGCCGGCGCGCTGCGCGCGCCCGGCGAGCCCGACCC